TGCGTACAGAATACGTTCCTAAACAATGGAAACGAGCTCAAGTCATCATGCTACTTAAACCAGGAAAACCTCCTGAACAAATAACTTCATACAGACCTATATCGCTTCTTCCAAGCTTATCTAAATTATTCGAAAAATTACTTTTAAAGCGTCTAAAACCAATTATAGAAGTAAAACAGCTTATTCCTGAACACCAGTTCGGATTCTGGAGTAAACACTCAACAGTTGAACAGGTCCATCGTGTCACAAATATAATAAACAAGGCACTGGAAGAAAAAAAAAATAGTGCTGTGGAGTATTCCTCGATATTGCGCAAGCTTTCGATAAAGTTTGGCACAAAGGATTACTTATTAAGCTACTTGAACAATTGCCGCATACTTGGTGCGCACTTATCGAGTCCTATCTGTCTGAACGTCAGTTCAGAGTTATTCACGAAGAAGCAATAACTGACTGGAAAAACATATCAGCTGGAGTACCCCAAGGAAGTGTCCTCGGGCCTATTTTGTACTTACTTTACACAGCTGACATTCCAGTTAACAACTATTCAATGACAGCCATGTTTGCCGATGACACAGCAATATTGGCAACTGATGAAAATCAGCAGACTGCGACTGATCAACTTCAACGAACACTTAACAACGTCTCCAACTGGACTAAGCGTTGGAAAATCAAAATTAACAGTGACAAATCGGTACACGTAAATTACACTTTGCGTAAAAGAGTTTATTATCCAGTAATGTTGGATCAACAGATCATCCCACAGAACGATGCTGCAAAATATCTAAGAATGCACATTGACTCGCGATTAAACTGGAAACATCACGTTCGACAGAAAAAGTTGCAAATTAAAGATAAATTGAGGAAACTTTAATGGCTAATCGGAAGACACTCTGAACTAGACCTTACAAGCAAACGTCTTTTGTACGTAGCGATAATTAAACCAATATGGACCTATGGAATACAACTTTGGGGTTGTGCCAGTAAGTCCAATATTGAGATTATTCAACGCTGTCAAAACATTGCTCTCCGTACTATTGTCGCAGCGTACCGGTACGACAGAAATAACACTATCCACCGAGACTTGATGATGCCCTCAGTCCAGGACGAGATTACAAAGTTTGCCCGAAAACACGAGATAAAGCTAGATCAACACACCAATCCAGCAGCAATTCAACTACTTGACAACTCTCAAGACATAAGGCGTCTCAAACGCCGAAGACCATATGACTTAGTATAAAATGTTAGACTAAGACCGGGCCTCTCCATTGGGAGTGATAACCCAAACATGTTTTTGTTTATATATATCTACAAAATATTATTCATTAGTATCTTATATTTATGTATACCTCTGAAATGTATTGTTAAAGATCATTGATCATTATAATAAAAAAGCCATCAGGCAGTTTTCAAAAAAAAAAAAAATTTATTAAATCCTGGGTATCAGTTACCATCGAGAAAAACTGTTTCGAAATGTATTTTACCACAGTTGTATGAAAAAGCAAAAGAAAAAGTTAGAAATAATTTATTGAATGCCAAATATATTTCATTTACAACTGATGGCTGGACTTCCCTAAATAATGATCGTTTTATTGCTGTCACTGTACATTTTATGGATCCAGAAGAGTGTATTTTAAAAACATTTTTACTTGGGTGTTTCAACGTGGTGGAGTCCCACACAGCTGTAAATTTGTCATTATTTTTAAATGATTGTTTTAAAGAGTGGAACATAACAGAAAAAGTAAAAGTTGCTGTAAGTGACAATGCTGCGAATATAACATCAGCAATCGGCATGAATCAAAATTGGCGCCATATACCATGTCTAGCACACACATTAAATCTAATTGCACAATCCGGACTAGGTGAAATAAAACACGTTCACAAAAAAGTAAAAACCATCGTTGAATACTTTAAACAAAGTACAAAAGCAAATTTAAAACTAAAAAATACACAAAAACAAATGGGGTACCCGGAATTAAAGTTAATTCAAGACGTTTGTACCCGGTGGAACTCAACGTATGACATGTTTCAACGGTGTATCGATATTAAAGAACCTCTTATGAGTACAATTGCAATAATAGGTAATATGGATAATTTAATTCACGAAGACTTTGAACTAATAAAACACTACTGTGCTATACTTAAACCGTTTAAAGAAGTTACTATTGAACTAAGTAGTGAAAAAGGCATTTCAATTTCAAAGGTAATCATTTCAATAAAAGCATTACATTTACATATAAAAAATAAAGAAAAAGGACCTAATTTACCAAGTGCTATACATTTAATGCTTTCTAAAATGATAACAAAAGCCAATACAAAATTTGAAAATATTGAAAACCAGCCTATTTTAACAGAAGCAACCCTTTTAGATCCACGTTTCAAGAAAAAAGCGTTTAGTAATACGTATACATTTCAAAAAACTTACGAAAATATAAAACAAAGAGTTGCGGGAATTATTCATTTAAACAAAATTTGTTCAGTACAAAATGAAGATAATGAGAAAACCATACCGACCGATCGTGAAGATGCGACTTCTGAAATTTGGCAACAGTTTGACTCTCATGTAAATAAATTATATTATCATTGATATTTTGATATTTAAATGGTTTATACAATTAGTTTATGATTTTTAGGTGTCAACTTCAACTTCAGTCAACACTCCAACATCTGAAGCTATTGTTGAGTTGGATAGATATTTGAATGAACCTATAATATACCGAAAATCAGATCCACTTAAATGGTGGAATGACAGAAAAAAAATTTATCCAAATTTATTCGATTTAATGTTGTTGCGTTTATGTGTACCATCAACATCAGTCCTGAGCGAAAGAACCTTTTCAAAAGCTGGCTACACCATTTCCGAAAGACGAAATAGATTGTCAACAAAAAACGCGGAGATGTTAATATTTTTAAACAGTAATTATTAAATAAATACTATTTTAATTTTTATCTATAAAATTATTTCAGGCTTAGGCAAGTACTTAAGTCAATTTTGGAAGTTTCAGTTTATTTTATATTTTAAAGTATAAGGGTAAAGTGATTTTTTTATATTTTTATTTTTAAAATTATTTCTGCTGAAAATAAACAGTTATTTATTATTTATTTAATGTGTTTTTATGAATCGGTACTTAATTATAATTACTAACTGTACTGATTGAAATAATATTAAAACAGAGGGAATTTTCGATTAGGCGTTTCAAACGCATATATTTATATTATAACTTAAATATTGTAAACATAGCATTTCTGGTATAAATTTATTATTTAAAGCTCATTTTTTCCGAATGCAATAATAGTGTTGTATAATGAACCTACAAAGTACGAAGCATATTCATTCATAAATAACCTATTCAAGGACGAGTTCACATTTAAATATATGCGTTTTGATCGTTCGGCGCGAACAAAACGAATCTGAGTAACTATTGTACAAGTGTAACTAAATAAAGACTGTACCGATGTAACGAGTATTTTGTAATCGGTACTTTATTGTACCTGTACCGATTGGAACGATTCCACAAAAGGAACGATAATTCCCACCACTACTATAAACTCAGAATCCATAGCTTTTAGTAGTAAATTTACATCTGTAGCGGAACCTGATGAATCATTCCACTCTGAAATAGTCTCTAATGCTTCTAAGACAAACTCAAATAGCTCAACAAAATCATGAACCGCATCATATCGTTGTATCCATCTTGTGGCACAAAGACGTTTAAGAGTTTTCACTTTTTTATCAGTATCACTATTTTCAATACAAGACAGCAGAACATTGTTACGTTTGGGTGTATTGAAAAAAAGGATATACGTCAATAGATAATTGATAGCGCGACAATTGATAGTGGTCAATTTATAGCGCGTAAATTGATTGCGAGCGACTTTTGAGAGTTTGACAATTTGTAGCATACTAAAGAATTAAATGACCAAACAATTATCAAAAAAAATATACTACATAGTAATAAATATTGCAAGCCATAATTAAAATTATATATAAAAATCTTTATTAACTAAAAATTATCAAGTATAATATGTTATAATTTATAAGTCATAATTAAAATTTAGCTGCCTAAAAATATTATATCTGTAACTGGAAGTTATGTGCTATGCCTCTAAGATAGTCTTCAATTGTTCTATTATCATAATCTAAACAAATTTTTTTGATTTTAGCACTCCGATCTTTATAAATTTTTTTTGGTGGTGGTTCCATTCCTGCAACATATTGCTCTATTTTCATTCTGTTTACTTGTTCCTCTTTTTGCAATGCATTTATGAACTTCCATATTGTTGGGTGCGATGAAGAGTTTAACATTGCAGAAAAACAATTGTGCCACCTTTCTACGGAGTTATTTGTTCAGGGTAAATCAGCAGATACTAAATTATATCAGTTCCATATATTTATTGGAAAATTAGGTTCTCTTCTTTTTTTACTTCTGTGTAAACGACCAATCCAATTTCCCTCAAAATAATCTATTAATGGCATCAATACATCTTCATTTTGAATATAAAAATCTGTGTCTAAAAATTTCTCAAATGCATCAACAACTTTATTTGTTGGTACATACGCCAAATCTGGTAACATTCGAATGTATAATGCAAAATCTGAATTTTCTCTATCTTTTTTTTGTAATCCAGTTTCTTGAACGTGACGCCATACACATTGCGATAAATGAAAAAAAAACATCCATTTATAGATGCATTTGGAAACTCAGATTTGACAGCATTCATTTCAAAGTCCATCATTATATTAAGCGGTCTTAAATTAGATATTAATGACTTTAAAGCTTGAAACATTAATTTATGTGTATTTTCCTTTTTATCGGGTGGTAAAATATACACAGAAGGAATAACGTTCGAATAATAAACAGCGTGAATAGTATAAAGTTGTTGAAATATTTGAGGGGCACATGAGAATGTTCCGTCACAAAACCAATTGTCACAGTTAACCATTAATTCGAGGTTCCGTTTTGTACAGAATAATAGAATCAGATTTATTATCAAATTGTATAAAATTGCTCACCGCTCGTTGTTTTCGTGAATTGGTCTGGAATTTCAAAATTAAAATTTTGAGGATTAACTGGAGCTCCTAAATGAGATTGACGAACTCGCTGAACGGTTCTTTTTAAAGTTGGCACATTCGGTAATTGTCCAGCAACTGAAGCAGATACCTTAATAATAAAAATAGTATTAATAATAATAACTTAGAGAAATAATATAGAGGGTGATTCTTTTATCAAACAACACTCATTATTTAAAAAAGTATTGACTTTTTTCAAAAAAATTTTTTTCCAAAATTGTAGATTTACGCTGTTCTAAAATTGTATATTTTTTTTAAATTGTTCACCCTTATATTTATTAGGTAAACCACTATCAACTTTTGATTTTCAAATGGTAACCTATACTTAAAATTTCATAATTGAATAAAACTATTTTTTTAATTAATTATTACATTCAAATTTTCAGTTTTCGTTAATCCGTTGATGAGATATTGCTCCTGAAAGTGAGGTGTTTTTGGGAAGTAGTTATTGTGTGTAAATGTGTTATACCTCGTCAATGGATACCACAACTATCAGGATTTTTATGTCCCAGGGCAAAAGATATTACAATTTTCAAATCAGTTCATAAAGTACTTAAAGCCCCTAAATGTATTTTATTTTGCCCATTTTTCAGGGAGTCACGCAGTTCACCCCACAAAGGTTATTGCGGCACTGGTCAGTGGTCGTAATAATTATTATCAATTATAAAGACCAGAAGTTAAGTTATAAATTCGACCCAAGATAGAGCGGTGCTCCTTGTACCTGATAGCTGATAATACCTACCTACCTACAATAACACGCGATCATATTATTGGTATAGCTAATTGGACTGCTTCTGTTGTTTGTGACTTCAATAGTTCGATCACAATCTATCTATTCTATGCCGACTACAACACACCATAGAGTAACATACTAACATAGTAACATACGGAAGTCGGAAATACAGAATTATTTTAGTCCATAAGTAAAGTTGTCCATGCCCCATGAACCATGGTTTATCATTATTCATTACTGTCTATCGTAAAGAAAATACAGTGTTACCAATATGTGTATTTACAAAATAAATGGTAGCAGTATATTACTGTTAATTTATGTCACAAATAAAAACCTGTTTTTGTTACTCTAGTAGACAGTTTCTACTACAGTTGCAACAACTGTTAACTGTTTATTTAATGTTTTAAATCACTGCTGTAGTGTAGTTGTCTATAGTCTGTTACTGACTATTATAATTGTTAGCATAGTGCTATGGCGTCAACGACCGATACTTCTAATTAATTCGTCTTAATTCGTTCGTAAGTATAAGAATTCATATTAAATATAATTTTTAACAAACTCTTTGGTTAAGAATGAAAAAAATGTAACATACATATACATTAACTATAATACATATTATACGTAGGTATTTATTTGTATACAATTTGAATAAGAAATACATTATAGAATACACGTTATTTATATTTTAACTTATGTTCAAACTGCTTGCCATTTTCACTTAAACAAAAATTTAAACGTTTCAATACTTCAGTGGATGTAGATTTTTTCAATATTGAATTTTCAATTTTGTTACAACAATTTTTTATTTTTTGTTTAAGTTCCTACACACTATTGCATTTTTCTTTATACACTTCATTTTTAAGATGGCCCCAAAAAAAGAAGTCAAGAACACTTAAATCAGGGGAACGAGGTGGCCATTGAATAATGGGGCTGTGAGTACCAAACCAGTTATTGTCTCCATACATCTCATTAAGATATGCACGTACAGCCAAGGTATTATGTGCTGGTGCACCATCTTGTTGCCATATTAAATCCAAACGCTGTTGAATGGGAATATTTTCCATCAAAATTGGCAAATCATTTTTCAAAAAATCAAAATATATCTTTCCATTTAAATTTTCATCAAAAAAATATGGACCAATTAAATGCTCATCAATAATCCCACACCAAACATTCACACCCCAACGAACTTGCTTATTGGTCTCATTTATCCAGTGGGGATTTGAATGATTCCAAGAGTGATTGTTGTGGTCATTTACTTGTCCATTATTGTGGAATCTCGCCTCATCAGTCCAAAGGATATTTGTTAAAAATTGAGGATCTTCTTCTAATTTTACCATACAATGTGCACAGGGGCGTACTCAGGAATTTTCAATGGGGGGGGTTGAACATTTTGTTTTTTATTACGGGGACTTTGTCACCTCCTTTTTAAAAATATTAAATATAAACATGGTAATGTACTCTACAGAAAATAAATTTCAAAAATGAAAAATGTTTATTTAAAGAACAAAATTAAGTTTTCTTGGTTTTTTAGCCAATTCATTTATAACTTCGTCGGCGGTAAGTGACACTTCTTTGTGTACTGCCAACATCGTCAAACCATTCAGACGAGTCTGAAAGAAGAAATATTTTTAAATTATAACAAGCTGTCCTTTAATCTTAAAATAAATATGGGAAGAAATACCTCTGTCATTGTGCTACGCTGATAACTTTTTAACCTTTTTAAACATGAGAATGTACGCTCTGGTGTTGCTGTCGATACTGGTAGAGTACATAAGATAAGCAGCAAACGATGAATATTTGGAAATAACTCCTGCTTGCACAGCCTCAATGCTTCCAAACTATTTTTTGGATCTTCTTCATTTTTTTTTAATATAGCACGCCACAAATGTAGTTCTGATAAAACAGTTTGTTCATTAGTATCAAGATAAAACTGTATGATTTCTCCAAAGTCATCAGAATATGAACCAGTAAACAAACTATGAAATCCTATAAAACGAATATTAATTAAATTGTATGTTATAAATGAAAATTAAATAACTAACCTTTAAATATATTTTTATGACACAAAAATCTCTCATTTAGTTGTTGAACAAACGAGTCAATGTACGGTATAGCTATCGTTACACGATAATATTCTTCAGGATCGTTGATATCAGGATTGGCACGATTTATACATCGTTTATTCAACCGTTTCATCGATATGCTGATATCTAATACATCGGCCATTTTCTAAAATAACAAGTGCATGTAATAGTTAATAAGTAACACATTTGTTTTTGATCTTTACCTCAGCTTCTCTAAATAACTTTTTAAACTCTTCACCTATATTTTCACGTACATTTTGCAAAGTAGTAATGCTGGCTTCAGCAAGATCTACTGCTTCTTTCAGGTCAATATCCACTTTTTGTAAGAGTTTACATAAAGGTAAACCATATGAAAACAATAACTAATAAATCAAACAGAATTTTTATTAAAAATGATTTTTTATAAAAAAAAAGGGTTCCTCATATTTACTTTAATAACTTGGAGAGAAATTATAAACTCTGAGTCCATAGCTTTATGTAACATTTTAGCATCAGTTGATGTTGTATCATTCCATTCTGATATAATATGTTCTAACGCAACAACAACAAAAGGAAATAATTCTACGAAATCATTAACCGCTGTGTACCGTTCTACCCATCTTGTGGCACACAGATGTTTGAGCGATTTTGATTTTGTGTCTAAACTACCTTCATTTATAAAATTTAACAGGACATTTTTACGTTTGGGTGTGTTAAAAAAACAGTACATTTTTTCAAGCACACCCAAACAGTTTCTTATCGCCTGAATACCACAAGCAGCAGACACGGCTAAATTTAACGAATGTGCCGCACAGTGTACATATAAGGCCTTAGGATAAGTTTCCCTTACAACAGTTTGGGTTCCTTTAAAGCGCCCAGCCATATTTGCAGCGCCATCGTAACCTTGACCGTACATATTGTTGCAGTCAATACCGCATGAATTTAAACCTATGTAATAAAATCATTAAGAAAAAATATAATTTTTTTCTATATCAAAATTATCAAATTGTTCAATAATTACCATTTATAATAGTAGATCCAATATCTTTTCCAGTTAAGCTATTAATTTCAATGTACTTTAAAAATTTTTCACTTAAACATACATCTTTTCCAGAGCCTACCACATATCGTATACATAATGTCAATTGTTCTTTGACTGAAACATCAGTTGTCTCGTCCACTAATACGGAAAAACATTTGGCTACATTAACTTCTTTTACAATTTTATCTAATATTAGATCACCACAAGAAGAAATAACTTCATTTTGGATATTTGGACTAGTGTATTTGTAACGACTTTCACACTCTAAAAAATTTTTAAAATCAACCATATCTTTTGCCTTATATTTAAGAATTGCACGGAAATTGCCTTCGTTAATATATGGTTCAGCTTCACCTACAATAAAAATACAAACAATTATGTCACACCCTTAAATAAACATAATTTTAATTCATACTTTTAAAATTGATTGGACCAGAGTCCCTATGGCCACGTAGGGCAAGTTCCTGTCTACCGCATAATATTATACATTCAATGATAGGAATAAGGTTCAATCTGTTTTGTTTTTTTTGTTTCATTCTAAGTATCAAGTTGCATGTGCATAAGTCAATAAGTGCATATATTAATTAAAACAAAATTTGTATACCTTTCACTATCTAAAATCTCAACAATGTTTGGTTTGTTAGATGAAAATAATTGTATGAAGTTTTCACCTTTTAATACAGAAGTTTTATGATAGTCATTGTTGCTGTGATTTTCAAATACCTGCAAATTATTATTATATTTACAACATTCATAATGAAAAAAGTTGTTAAAAATGACTAAATAACTAATAAGCAAGCAGCTTTTCAACTACTTTTAAAGCGTTTTTCCAATTTTGGCAAGCAGTTGTTACAAGGCTGCTCAAAGTCTGATTTCCAACACCACCACTTCTAGCAAAAACTGCACAATATTTGCAAAATGCACCTTGCAATTGCTCAGAATAGCATAACCAATTAAATTTCCCTAACCAATGATGTTGAAATTTGATTTTTCTTTTGGTATGTTGTTCAAGTAATGGATATAAGTAATTCAATGGTGGTGACCATAAGTTTGTCAACACCTAAAATGTTAATATAGTTAAAATAATACCTACCTAATTGTCCTAATTAGAAAATATAAAATCATGATGTATCATAGTATATACTCACTATATGTTTTTCAACATCAGATAAGCTTCTACTAATAAATAATCCGATATCATTTTTCGGCACTGATGGCACTACGTTTACAGCACATTCCAACTTAAATAAATAACATGCATAGATGCAGCATTCGCAGTGTATTAATAAATTTACATAGGTGTGTCTAGTTTATAGGTACTTACATTATTTTGGATTGTTTCATTTTCCGATTGATTAACGTGTTCATGTTTCCTTTTAAGATTATTGGAGGGTTCAATGTTAAGGGTTCTAGTAAAAAATGTTGTAATTTTATTTTTATTGTTTTGTGACATCTTTATTAATTATTGTAACAAAAAGTCTCTCAAGTCCGCACATAAAGTTTCAATTTTGAAATGATAATCAGTAACGACTAACGACAGTAACACACAATATACGATAACCACTTTACTAGATAGTACTGATAAGAGAATACTAACCAGTTACCAGTAATCACTAACGGTGAACATGTTTGATTTAAATGTTATCTGGTTATCATAATACAGTTCTTAACAGATAATGCTTGTAATCGTTGTATAATGCATGTTGATATAAAATTAGAAAAATTTTAGAAAATTGCTCCTGTGAATTATATTATGTATACGCAAGAACGCACAAGAGTGCATCGGTTAGTGAGGTCATGGGGGGGGGTTCAAACCCCACGAACCCCCCCCCCCCCCTTGAGTACGCCCCTGAATGTGCAACAAAAGTTAGTCGCCTTTCATAATCACTTGCTAGAATTTCATTATAAATATACGTTAAAGTGCATTTAAAATATTATGAAATATACTAAAAATTACATAGACGATAATTCAAACAGTGATTTATTGATTAATCATAATTAAAACAATTACAAATCAATTTTCACAAAATGTATTCAGGGTAGCTATTTAGAATCATATGTATATTTAACATATTTAATGTAACATAATATTTGGAAATAATTGTATTTACTATAGGGACAGTTGAAAAAGAACATAGAAAAGTTAAATTATAGGTTGTTTCAATAGTTGTAATATACTTTGTAGAACTAGGTCTTTTTGACCAATCACATAAATTTAATCAATAGGTAGGTATTTAAATAACAATGATATACATCCAAATACATAAGGCACTGATAAACTTAAATAATTATATTTTATGTAAAAATTATATTTTCAATGTCATAAACAGGGTTCGAGACCATTGGTGCAACTAGGGGGTGAAAAAGCATCTTTAGCAGCCCTTATTTTTTAGATTTAATTATCATTATTACAGTGAAATATGAAACATTATAGCACCCCACATTTTAGAGTGTTCTTTTTAACACATTAAACATTTTTTAAAGTATATTTTCTATTTTAATATGATGCAAGTGATAACCAATAACAAAAACTAAGGAGAGAATAACCATTTTTAGATTGCTTAATTTTGATTATTTAAATGTTTTTTTTCAAACGGTGGATTTGATAATTTTAGGTTGTGTTTAGCCCTGAACCCTGTTCACGACCGAATCCCTCACATTTTATATTGATATTATTATAAACCATTAAACAATTTTACTTTAATAAGCCCAGGACTATGAAAAATCTATTTCAAAATGATGATACAGTTTAATCAAAATGTTTCGTACAGTTATGCAAAATATGAGTAAAGATAAAACATGTATTCAAAAAATTAAAACAAACTTATTAATCACCCCAGACCTAAAAAGTAAAATTTAAAAATGGTGTTAATAATATTCTAACTTGAATTTAGTACTAATTATTATTTAATGACAACACCAATCGTTGACAAAAGTAATTTAGTATTAATCATTATAGAATGTAATACTAATATCATTAAAAAAATATTAATAATAATTTATATTTTTTAAATACTTTACATTGAGCATTTATACTAGTGTTACTATTTGTAATAATAGAAATATAATTATTAATAACATACCTATTTTATTTTTTTTTAATTCTTAATTTGATTTTCACAATCTACATATTATATTGTGTGTATTAAACACAACATACATTATTTTATCTTTTAAGTTGTAATGATTGATGTTGTCACCTCATTTAAATTAATTATAAAATATCATACAGAGTACAAAACATTAAAATTAGCAATATTTTTAGTTTCAATACACATCATTGGTAATATGTACTTAATCCAGCTAGATTTTTCCCACTCCTTTGCAATTGTCTTGAATATCTAAAAAGTTGAATTCTCAATATAATAATTAAATAATGTAACAATTAAAAATATTTATACATACTTTATTTGTTTTGTAGTCTGTTGAAATATTTAAATCCAATATGTGAAACATTATTTTTATTTTTCACAGTTACCATTTTCAAATGTAATTATACATAGCAGTATGAATAATAATATACAGGATCTTCTGAATTTTATGTCAAAGGTAGTTGAAAATTGATTGAATTACCCATCATTTATTTTAAATATTAATATTAATAATATTACTAAGTTGAAAACTATTGTGAACACTTGGAAATATTTTGATTTATAATAAATAATAATATACATATAGGCAGTTTTGAAAATTCTAAAATTAAAAATGTATGCTTGCCAATATTATACTGAAAATACAAATATTAACTAGACAATAAGATTACTCATAATTTAGAATTGTCTAAAAGGAATTAGTTAGGTAGTTAAAATTGAAAATTAAGAATAATATTACATTTTGAAAGTTGTTTCAAAGCAAAGTGAAATTCATTAGATAGGTTTAGTATGAATATCATTAGGTATTCTAACTTTAAATGTATAAAGCCATTTTAATTAACAAAATGTGTTAAATTGTTTCAATAATTGATGACACTACAGAATTATAGAAAAAATCTTGACAAGTAACTAAAATCATGATAATATTTTAGTTAAATAATCTTAAAATATATATCTCAATATTTATACTCAATACATAATAATATATTGTATACTTAAACAAACACATAATATGTTACTTTTAAGTTTAAATTTTACCAGCAGCCAATTAAGACACCTACTTGGATTTATTAACTTGAATGTTGGTAATGGTAATTTGTTTATCAATTTATTAATAAGTCTTCAATATATCATTTTTGACTTGCAGACACTATGTCACGGTAGAGGTCTAATGATAATTAATTTAAAATAATAAATAATAATGTGAATTACATTATTACCATTTACCACATCAAATTAACCACGCTTAAAAATTGTATAAGTAATGAGTGATGTATTAGCAAATTGAATACAATAAATACAATACTACGTATGCATATTATAGAGAAAGAAATATAATAGTACTTATAGATATTAAAATCACAGAAAAGTATGGCTCATTTTCACATCAATAAAATAAATTGAAGGTAAATTTAGTGGGTAACACAATTAAAAGATGATTTTTAACTGATTTCATTAAATTAAAAAGTAATAATTTTATTTGAAATGACTACAATTTCAGTACCTAATAGTGGTTTTTGAAGCAAAGTTATAAATGTTAGAATACCTTTAAGACATTTTTACTCCCTCAGATTAACAATATTTAATCCATTGATAAATCATTGAAAATTATGAATAGAATATAAGTATTTTTGGAATGGTAATACGAATGTGTGTCTTGATAAATTGCAAATAATATGCACAGAAAAAAAGCACAAAAACATGAAAATTATATTTAAATAATTGATCTACTATGGATATAATATACTTATAAAATATAATAAGCAAAAAAATAATAAGAAACAAAAAAAATCAAATATATTTCCATATGTTATCAATAAATTATCATTACTATGACTTGGATACATATCATATTGTAAATAAAATTTAAATAGTAAAATATATGAACAAGTATTACAGATTTCATTAAAAAAATTCCCCCACATTATGATTGCAAAAAAGTATAGGTTATAGGTTTCCATTTGAATTTCTAAAGTTGACCCCCCAAAACCCCCATTAAATGTTGTTAATAATTACAAAATTGTGAAATCGTAATAGATGTTTCTAAATCAAAAAACTTTTGTACCATACATTTTTCACTAATTTGAATATTTATATGTTAAAATTTTGAATCACTCTGTATTATGTATAAATGATTAAGCTGAAATCAAAATATCTAAAGTTAATGACATATTGTATTATTTATTTTAATTTTTGCAATTACCAACTGGTAAAACATAGTACTTACCAATAAATTGTACAAATGTAATCGCCAGTCATCCAATTCAAGTGTGATTAATCAATTTAGGTACTAATATGATTGATTAAAGTATTCAATTATTAAATAAAATACAATATGTGGTAAATAAGACAATAATTATATTATATTATACAAGAACTAATAGGTATTTAAGTATTTTATTAAAAAAATAAAATACCGACGACCACGAGTCACGATTCAATATATGTTCTTATGAGTAATTATTATCTTATAACCTAACCGTTTATTTACTAAAGTATTGTTGTGTGATTAACGCTAACCCAGTATGAGGTATACTTCCATATCGTGTAACCACGGAACCACGATATCAGCTGCACAGATCATAGAGTTTACTCTATGGCACAGATTAAATCTATTCTGTGATATCAGCACAGAGCACGATAAACATATTATTTAGGTACTATCTGTTATTACCTAATCGCAATTCAGTCTAATCAGACATCAATTTTGTATTGTTGGGTCCGTTGTCACAAATTGTCGGTACTCCGTACTTAATAGGTATTAATGGGGTCTAGGGGATTACACGCGAGTATGCGTAAGGAACACTAATGGTCCAATTACTTAAAATATGACATCATGACAATAAATTATTGTTGCTGGTAGCAAATAAGCACGATGATTATCACTACCTTGGGTTCGAACGATATAGGATTTAATACTTTTAACTTCTGGTCTTTATAATCGATAAGAATTATTATGACCAGTGCCGAAATCACCTTCAGTGGGGCGAACGGCGGACACCCATACATTTAGGGGCACAACTCAACCTAACCTAACCTACTTGAATTGATTTTAAAATGTAATATCTTTAAACCTGGGGCTTACAAACCCTAATAACTGTGGTATCTACTGGCGAGGTATAACACATTTACTTTACACACAATAACCGCCTCCTAAAACCACCGAACTTTGAGGAACAATATCTCATCAACAGATTAACGAAAAATGAAAATTTGAACGTGATAATTCATAAAAAAAATAGCTTTA